TACAATTACCATTCAGATAATTCCCACATCCCATCATAAGGAGAAATAAGGGCAGGAGGAGAAAGACCAAGCTATTTCAGAAATCAGTGTTACGCTACCTGGAAGTGAGAAGCAGGAGGAAAGGTGGTTTCCACACCTACCGCACAAGCTAATAAACCAAAGCAGTTTGCTCCTTTTAACTCTCCCCCAACCTCTGTTAAGATTGCCCTGAGGTCATGTACACTCAGGACGAGCTAACCCAAAGAAGAGCATATAAAATTTTAGTTCTTCTATTCTTAGAAGACAGTAAAATGAGACAGTATAACAAATGATGCTTGCTTCTCTCTTATCAGTGAAGCCAGTTTCTCTCCCACAATGCCACCCACCCTGCATGAGCATTTGACTTTCTTACAAAATTGTCATTGTCCAAAATAATGTAAAAGGTCCAACCCTGCAGCTATGAATGCAACTTCAAGTATTACATCTTTCTCTTTGATTTGGAAGCAGAAACATGGCTTTCTATCGTAACCATAAACCGCCCACATACAACACAGTGTTTTAATAAACACTAAGTAATACAAGATGCTCCATTTCAATATAATGGGTTACTTACCGAAGCCCATCACTGAACAAAGCAACTGAGGAAAATTCGGTACAAAACAAATAACTTTTCTTTGCCAAAAACAAACTTTGTCTTGTGAGGTGAACATCTCTGGGAACTCTTCGAATGGTTAGTAATGGACCAATGAAATGGACAGTAAACCTTAAATGTTTTTCTGGTGTTGAAGTTGGCAAACACCTTAGGATTTCTTATTAAGAAATCCTGAACAACTTAATGCTACTCTTGAATTGCTTGCTAGTAGAGTTTTATATACAGATTATTAATTTTTTATTATTTTAGAAATAAAATAATGCTCATTTCTTCTAGAAGAGTTGCGGGGGGGCTCTTTAGGATTTTTAATTACTAAGTAAGTACATATATGGGTTCCATTAACCTGAAACTGGGCATATTTCAAATATGTCATAATTATTTTGAGAGAACATGATGGGAATTTTATCTTTTATTCTTTCAATCATTAATACAGTGCCTATTAATGTGAGGCTGTGGGGACACCCTTAAAAGAGCACATAATGAATTGGTTCTCCTGATTTATTTATTTGGAAAAAAATACTGTGAACCAAAGTCCATGCTAAATTCTGGGGTATGGCAGTGAACAAGACAAACAACAGATCTGGCACACAGCAGAAATATATATTCTTCTGGCCTCTGGCCTTGCCTTCTTTCTGCAGTTGTCCATTACTGTCATCCTTCCCATGTCCCATTGGCATAGTCCAAGGACTGAAGGGAGGTTAATGAGAATTTACTGTGCCATCGGAGTATTGAAATCTTTCCTTTCTCTATCCCCACCATTGACCTCTTCCCTTCAATCCTCATTATTTAATTTCTGCCTTCCAAGTTGTATATGTAGCAGATAAAATCATGTTTGCCCTTGCTTTGACCACATTATTATATTTTCAAGTGTCCCAGAGTACTTTCTCAGACTCTGAATTACTGAATTTTGCTCCATTTTTCCACCTACAATGGAGGGCTATAGTAAAACCACTTGCATGTTTGTCTTGTTTAATTCATCTTCCACTCTGAATAGATTCTGTCTTTTTAAAATCATGTGGCATGATGTGGTCCACATACCAGATACTCAGTAAGTGAAGCATACAATACTAATTTGAAGGCCTGCTTAGATCATCTAGTCTGAGTCTCCTGTGTCGCAGAAGAGAAAACTTAGGTCTAGAGAAGTTTAGTGGGTTAATGATTGCACAGTTTGACAACTGAAGCTAGAATCCACATCTTTTGACTTCTGATCCAGGATCTTTCTATGTAAACATATTGCCTCCAGTATAAACCTTCAACATACAAGGGTACTTCACAGAATTTTGTGGAAAAATAGAAATAAAAGATAATATGAATCTTTCCATGAACTTTGTGAAGTATCCTCACATGCCTCAACAAGTTGCATCACTGGCCTCATTGAACCAGCTCACCTTGACCTAACCTAGACTTAAGCCTGGCTAAACATCTTGTTTAGGCACTTTTCAGTCATTCATTCATTTGTCCATTACTCAACAAATATTTAATCACTACCTTCAATTCACATTGTACTAAATGCTGAATATACATGATAAAATATGTGGTTTCTGTTCTTAAGGAATTTTCAGTCTATTGTGGGGGACAGGCAATAACCAAGTAAATAAATACATAATCGCAAACAGGATTAAGTGCTATGAAATAAACAAACATCACCAAGTGATGGGGGGTGGAGGGTGGAGGGAGGTGGGAAACTATGGGATTGTCAAGAAGGACTTAGGAATAAGAACCCAGTTTGCATTCCAGTCTCTCTTGGCTACAAGCCTTGGTCAAAGCTATCACATATGCATAAAACAATTTCCAATTCACCATGCCATGCTGCATTCTGCCTCTAACTGAATTTGTAGACTAAGATTCACTTTTTTCAAATAAAATCCCTTAATTAAGTCCATTTGAGTTAATTAAGTCTCGTAGAGTTTCCCCTCCTTCAAGTTCAGATTCTGGCCAGCTCCCTCCCCCTACCCCCATAACTGCTTAATTGTTAAGAATACATATCCATAAGTTACACAATTATTTGTCAAACTCCCTGAGGGCAAGGGGCCTGTTATTTAGTATTTATTCCAAACACCTACTAAAGAATTGAGTAGTCAAATACTTTGTAGGTAGAGTTTCCAAGGGTCTCAGTCCCACACATCATGTTAGCTATGATTTTTTTTGTCAGGGCCATGATTTACTTGCCACTACTTTGTATCATGGTACGACCAATGAATATCACAAGCATTCATAAGTTGTTTGTTACTTGCAGAAGTAACTTTCATTTATTCAGTTGTCAAACATTCAGTGACTGAATGACAAGCAGTGAGCTAGATGCCGCAGGAATATGAAGATGATTAAAATGGTCCATTTCTAATCAGTGAAGACAAACTTATAAACCTAATTAGAATTCAATGTGCTGACTAATGATAGAGATATGTCAAAGTGCTATAAAAGCAACTGTATCAGGATAGGGGAAGGTAAGTCAGAGAAAGTTTCTCTGTGGTGAGTCTAAAGGATGAATGTTCCCAAAGATGCACAAAAGGACACTGAGAATATACTTGCATGTAATATCATGCTTAACACTGTGTGAAACAAGATAAGTAGGTGTGATTTCTGGACTCTAGAAACTTCACATCAAAGGAGAAAATGATGCAGGTTCAAGATTCAGGACATAAGTTAAATAAATATGGCCATTTTAAATGAAAATGAGCAATATACTAGCAAAAGAGCACGTGTTCTTGTATGGTCATAAGTAAAAAGGAAATTGTGGGGGGATTCTTCCCAGTGGAGAATTGCCAAACCTTTTCAGGTGATTATGATACCCTTTCTGCAGGAAGAAGACAATTAAACAACTAGTATTAGTAAGTTTAGTTTCATTACTGTGCCTTAAAGTATCTTTAATTACACTTTAAAAATTGAGTACCTGCTTAATAATGAAGCTAGAACAGGGCGTTAAATTGAAATGCACCTTCCCAAGGAAAGCTTTCCTTCAAAGCCTCTTAGACATTTTTCAGGTGCAGGAGGCAAAAAGGAACTCTACTTATATCTATGAGTTGTGCCTAAGTGGTCAATATTTTCAGCATTATTTAACACTCTCTCTTCTGCTTTGATATTTTTTAACCATCTAATTTTATTTTATAGCTCTGTGATTTTTAAACAGCATTTCATAATTGTTTTTTTCAACTTTTCTAACTTCATTTTTTCATACCTGAGAAAGCACATATGATTTGATCAACTAGGTGTCTCCAATATGGAAGAAAATTCCATGATGTTACTATAATTCTCGAAGGAGTCTTTCTGAAAGAAAAAAAAAAATCAGTTGGAGAATTTTATCAAAAAGAAAAGTTTTCAGTTTGTAGAATTTGTTGAATGTTGGGGGTGTATAAAAATTACTCCCGATGGTACTACATATGAAGTCAAGTACCCACATACAAAAAAACCTTATTAATACATTAGGAAATAAATGTAGGGGCTCAGGGATTAGATAATATTATTGGGTAATGTTGAGATTCTCAAGTATGGTAATACTTCATTATCTGGAGTATTTTTATTTAGCAAACTCAGCTATCAGAAACACCTTTAAAAACCAGAAAGTGAGCAATACTACTACTAATAATAAGACCTCTAAGACCCAGTGTAGGAAGTAGAGCTCATGCAATTTACTCAGGTACTCACACTGACCCTATTTATACTTATTAAAGAGAACTTATAAGCCTTGATTTTCTGATTTTGTAGTGCCCTGCAAATTAGAAGCAAACTTATAGAACAAATTGGAGAAAGCTACTGCTAAAGGCAATGTGAAATGGTAACTAATATTCTGACAGAGAGAAAAAGAAAATTATATCAAGAGAAATAAAAATTCAAAAACCAGTACTGTTTGAGACTTCATATACCATGTTAGTTCCTGGAGCAGGCGTAACATACCACAGTTCACTCTAAGTAACTATTTTGCTCTATTGGCTGAGATATGTGCTGTATATTTCAGATAGCTTTCCAATGATTTTATATTTTTATTAGTATTGGAAGAAATAACTGCAGTTTTGAGAAACCTGGAGCAGGCGTAACATACCACAGTTCACTCTAAGTAACTATTTTGCTCTATTGGCTGAGGTATGTGCTGTATATTTCAGGTAGCTTTCCAATGATTTTATATTTTTATTAGTATTGGAAGAAATAACTGCAGTTTTGAGAAAGATTTGCATATAAAAACATTCACAATTTTGTTTAAAAACTGCTGGATGAATGAAAGGTGACAACGTTCAAATCGTTCTGGACGGCAACCACTCCCGCTGGCCTGTATATGCATGAGCATGCGCGTGATGGTTCCTTCTCAGTGTTCTTAGAACAACTTTCTGCTAGATATTCTACTCGTTTCTTTACCTTTCTCTTTCTCTTTTTCTAGCCGGAGACCACCCCCATCACCAACTCGTCCCACTATAATCCGTCCACTAGAATCTTCCCTGTTAGACTAAACGAAGTGTCCGGCATGGCAATTAATCACTAATGAATTATGCGAAAGCAACGTCTTTGATAACCGTTGCAGTAAATCATGAGTAGTCGCATGTGTGGACATCAGTAGGCAAGTAACCAGTTTTACTAACGCATTCATCACCCATCTTCATCCCTCATGGTACATCAAACCTTTGGGGTTTGACTCTTGAAAAACTGCTGACCTGTAGAGGCTTTATATGTTGCGTGGGCCAAGGTAGGGTTGTATAGCAGTCCTATACTTTGGGGACCATTTGCCTACCCTGGCATATATTTGAGATTGCTTTGGACAATTTTTCCAGGCTATCTACCAGGTAGCTTGTTAAATATAATTCTTAACATATGTGAAATAGTGGACTTAGACCTAAGCCATACATATTTCTTTTCCTACATTCTGTTTAGGATGACAGAAATTCTGTTATCTATTATTAATGCTACCACCTACTTGATAATTACATATTTAGCTCCTTTTTCCGTCCTCTTTATTTCATAAGAATGCTAGGAAGTGACTTTTTAAAATGAGGATTCCTTAAGAATAAAACTTTTCCTGAAGCACAGGTAGTTTGCAAAGGAAAAGTCTGCATTGTTTGCTCTAGAGAGCTTCTCCTTATTCCAATGTGTCTGGCTTCATGCTAGAAGCGTGTGCAACAGTGAATTGAAGCTTGTTTGGTAATCAGTCAATAAATCTGGCTAGTTAGTTTAGAGTTCAAGGAAGAAGCAAAATATCACATCTCTAGAAGTGTCTGGAAAAACATAATTTCTTTATTCACTTATATATTCACCTCCTGGTAGGTTACAGTGAAGGCTGATATGGAAAATGTTTAATTTTTCCAATTAATCTAATTTTTGGCATACTGACTACACTTTGATACTAACTCCAGTTTATTATTAATATTATTATTATTTTGGTTAGAGCAAAAAACTCTCCCTCTTTTCATGCTGCTTCGTAATTCTCTTATGTAAAAATTTATCTTACCTTTAAAACAGGTTTAATGTCACCTTCTATCCATTCTAGGCTTTCTTAATAAATCTTGAGGCTTGCTAAGGGATAATCACCTTTAAAGAATGGTACTTGGAATGCAAATAAAAGTCAATAAGAGATGCCATGGTTAAAGAGCAGAGGTCACACTTTTACGGTTTTACTACTTCAGAATCCCTATCCAGGTCACTCCAGAAAATGGTATTGAAACATAAAGATCTAAAGTGAATTGCAATTTCTAAGATTTCTAACATTTACAAGCGCAGTTTAGCCTGGGGGTTAATAGTTAAGTCTTAAGTTTTGGACTACCTAGGACCAGATGATTAGCATGCAGGAAACAGCCAGAAGCCAACTGAAGTTTTGTCTGCTAACTGTTCCCAGACAGCAGAGCAAATACTCACTGAATAGTGGTGTCCCATGACACTATTTCATATTCTACAGAAGTAAATCAGGTTTCACCAACTGAAATGTCTCCCATTGAAAGCAGCAAACATGATTTGTATGTTAACTTAACTTTAATTTCCTGTGTAGTTTATACCCAAAGCAGATACCCATAAAGTATGAAGTAAAAACTTTTAACCATTATTGAAAATAGAACTTGCCAAGTTAAATGGCATTGTTTTAAAGTTGATTCTAAAGGGTTACAGCTAGCCCATAATTGGCAAAAATCAGAGAATACAAGACTTACAAAAAGAGCAGTTTAACTTTTAAAGTTACAGGTGATTGCGTAAAGAACATTAGCACTCTAAGTCTTCTTGGATCCTGTTTTTTCCTCATTAGAAAAAACATTAACTCTTTGTGAATGGAACCCATGTGCAAGATACATACTATATTTTAAAAATAGTGTCTCGGCTAAATGGAAAAATGTTAAGTGACATCCATAGTAAAACAATCTGCAGTGAGATTTTTCTATAAAATTCCCTCTTCTTAAGATTCCCTTTGCTTCTTCCTTTGAATTCTCTAAAATAGGCAGGTCACAGATTGTATACTTCAGGGTTGGGTTTAGTGCTAAATGTTGTTTTGCATTTTGCTGTATTTCAAAAATTTCCTTCTGTTAAAGGAAAATATTGTGGATAACCACCAGTGTGTTCTCACATCAGCACAAACCATGTCAAAGAAATTGGAGATTTTTTCCAAGTTTCTTTCCACTGATCGTAGGCAGTCATAAGCAATGGCATTTGTCATCCTTGGCTTTTGCTTTTAGATTATAATCCCACAGTTGCACTGTCCCAATTATCTCCCTTTATGGATACATTTTTGTTCTTTTTTACCCCTAAGTTATTTCTAATAAAACCCAGCCTCCCCTGGAATTTCAGCAGTCACATTGGAGAATATTTGCAGCAGTATTGTCATATTATTATTATTATTAAATCCCATTTCCCAGAAGGTTTGTATCCTGCTAAAAGGAGATGCCAATCTGAATGATGTCTGAAGCTCTAGGACATACACAGTTTGAGGTGCAGCATGCGCATCAGGCCTTAAGATGGAAATGTAGCTTAATGAGCTTTCTAATCGTTTCTTATACCATTTCTAATCTTTTGTGTAACTTCCTCTTAACTGATTACTCTGATGTTGTCAACACAATAGACGTAGCTCCATCGTGTCCAGCATAAAAAAAAAATCAGTGACTTTAGGATTTGGAAAAAAAAAATCATACATGTTTACTAGACAGGTAAATCTAGTTTTAATTGTTACATATCTCTAGAAGTGTCTGGAAAAACATAATTTCTTTATTCACTTATATATTCACCTCCTGGTAGGTTACAGTGAAGGCTGATATGGAAAATGTTTAATTTTTCCAATTAATCTAATTTTTGGCATACTGACTACACTTTGATACTAACTCCAGTTTATTATTAATATTATTATTATTTTGGTTAGAGCAAAAAACTCTCCCTCTTTTCATGCTGCTTCGTAAGTAGGTAGGTTTAAAAGCACTTGTTAAAATGCGACAGGCATGAGTGTGATTGAATGTGCATTATATATATATGTATGCATATGAATGTAAATATCTATGTACACATGTGCTTAGTATGTGTGGATATGAAGATATTTTTTAAATTGTGCTATTACAAGAGATAGCTTTGGAGAAGCTGCCATAACACTTGATAGTAGTGGTTTGTTTCTCATAACATACATGAAGTATACAAAATTTTCTAACTCCAGATTGTATTCATTCTGAAAGGCACAATAAAAATGCTCATAATTACCATGACAACATGGTAATGTCCACAGGCATTGTATCTAAATCCACAGCATGGCTATCAAAGAAGTAATTACTTCTGACAATAAAGTTTGATAAGAAGTGTAAGATCTAGAAACTTACGATCACTAAATAGAATTATAAGTTATTTATTGGATTGCTGAGCTGAATCTTGAAAAGCTAAGTTGATTTATATAGTCGTTTTTTTCTCTGCAGTAAATGTAAAAAGAAAATAGAGGGCTATAGCAACATAATAATAGAAGATTTTTCTGAATAAATTTACTAAAAATGCAGAGGGAAAAGTTAATACCGTAGAGATAGAACATCCACTTTTTTGGGTAAACATTTTTTCTTTGGCCAGCAGTATAATTATTTGAAATTGACAGGAATCTTCTTAGAATTAAGAATAACTATATAGTTGGCCTCTGAACTCAATGAAAGAAGATAATGTATCAGATTCAAGCCATGCATTTTATATCATTTCACCTAGAGGACTACTAGCTGTGAGCTCAGAATTTAATGTGAATGAAGCTAGATGATTTTAGAGAAACGACTGTTAGTTCACCGGATCACTCAATACTTTCTATAAAAGCTCAAATGNATTTACAAGCGCAGTTTAGCCTGGGGGTTAATAGTTAAGTCTTAAGTTTTGGACTACCTAGGACCAGATGATTAGCATGCAGGAAACAGCCAGAAGCCAACTGAAGTTTTGTCTGCTAACTGTTCCCAGACAGCAGAGCAAATACTCACTGAATAGTGGCGTCCCATGACACTATTTCATATTCTACAGAAGTAAATCAGGTTTCACCAACTGAAATGTCTCCCATTGAAAGCAGCAAACATGATTTGTATGTTAACTTAACTTTAATTTCCTGTGTAGTTTATACCCAAAGCAGATACCCATAAAGTATGAAGTAAAAACTTTTAACCATTATTGAAAATAGAACTTGCCAAGTTAAATGGCATTGTTTTAAAGTTGATTCTAAAGGGTTACAGCTAGCCCATAATTGGCAAAAATCAGAGAATACAAGACTTACAAAAAGAGCAGTTTAACTTTTAAAGTTACAGGTGATTGCGTAAAGAACATTAGCACTCTAAGTCTTCTTGGATCCTGTTTTTTCCTCATTAGAAAAAACATTAACTCTTTGTGAATGGAACCCATGTGCAAGATACATACTATATTTTAAAAATAGTGTCTCGGCTAAATGGAAAAATGTTAAGTGACATCCATAGTAAAACAATCTGCAGTGAGATTTTTCTATAAAATTCCCTCTTCTTAAGATTCCCTTTGCTTCTTCCTTTGAATTCTCTAAAATAGGCAGGTCACAGATTGTATACTTCAGGGTTGGGTTTAGTGCTAAATGTTGTTTTGCATTTTGCTGTATTTCAAAAATTTCCTTCTGTTAAAGGAAAATATTGTGGATAACCACCAGTGTGTTCTCACATCAGCACAAACCATGTCAAAGAAATTGGAGATTTTTTCCAAGTTTCTTTCCACTGATCGTAGGCAGTCATAAGCAATGGCATTTGTCATCCTTGGCTTTTGCTTTTAGATTATAATCCCACAGTTGCACTGTCCCAATTATCTCCCTTTATGGATACATTTTTGTTCTTTTTTACCCCTAAGTTATTTCTAATAAAACCCAGCCTCCCCTGGAATTTCAGCAGTCACATTGGAGAATATTTGCAGCAGTATTGTCATATTATTATTATTATTAAATCCCATTTCCCAGAAGGTTTGTATCCTGCTAAAAGGAGATGCCAATCTGAATGATGTCTGAAGCTCTAGGACGTACACAGTTTGAGGTGCAGCCTGCGCATCAGGCCTTAAGATGGAAATGTAGCTTAATGAGCTTTCTAATCGTTTCTTATACCATTTCTAATCTTTTGTGTAACTTCCTCTTAACTGATTACTCTGATGTTGTCAACACAATAGACGTAGCTCCATCGTGTCCAGCATAAAAAAAAAATCAGTGACTTTAGGATTTGGAAAAAAAAAATCATACATGTTTACTAGACAGGTAAATCTAGTTTTAATTGTTACATGCTAAATCTTGCATGCGTATTGACTAATTGGAATAACCATTTACTCAGTCATGGCCAGACTATTGAAGTAGTATTGATTTAGAACAGGTATGTTGCATTTCCAAAAATCATCTACCAAGGTTACTCTAGTAAATATTACTATTAGCTGTGTTTTATAACATAGAAGAGCAGTAGGGTCTGTTTATTAGCAAATTTCCTATTTGTTCAAATACAGACTCCCAAGGTTACTCTAGTAAATATTACTATTAGCTGTGTTTTATAACATAGAAGAGCAGTAGGGGCTGTTTATTAGCAAATTTCCTATTTGTTCAAATACAGACTCGTATTCCAAAACCTTATAACAAAACCAGTTCCTGTGATATAACTATAAGCCTTCTGAACTTAGAATTAAAAGGTAATCACATAGATTCATTTTGGGACTTTTTAGTATAGACGGTAGCCATAATTCTTAAATATAAAAGGGAACCTAATACCAGTATGTGGTAAATGTTGACATTTTATGTGTATAAACACATTTTCTATGCATGTGTCTCTATGTATACAGTATATACATAGTAAATTCATTTCTGCAAGTACATGTATTTTATGTCCCTTTCAGTAGGTAGGTTTAAAAGCACTTGTTAAAATGCAACAGGCATGAGTGTGATTGAATGTGCATTATATATATATGTATGCATATGAATGTAAATATCTATGTACACATGTGCTTAGTATGTGTGGATATGAAGATATTTTTTAAATTGTGCTATTACAAGAGATAGCTTTGGAGAAGCTGCCATAACACTTGATAGTAGTGGTTTGTTTCTCATAACATACATGAAGTATACAAAATTTTCTAACTCCAGATTGTATTCATTCTGAAAGGCACAATAAAAATGCTCATAATTACCATGACAACATGGTAATGTCCACAGGCATTGTATCTAAATCCACAGCATGGCTATCAAAGAACGAATTACTTCTGACAATAAAGTTTGATAAGAAGTGTAAGATCTAGAAACTTACGATCACTAAATAGAATTATAAGTTATTTATTGGATTGCTGAGCTGAATCTTGAAAAGCTAAGTTGATTTATATAGTCGTTTTTTTCTCTGCAGTAAATGTAAAAAGAAAATAGAGGGCTATAGCAACATAATAAT